AACTATGCACCAGATTAGCTCTTTTGTTTTACTATAGAACAGGTGGTCTGCCTGGGAATAAGGATGCTAGAAAGTAGCTTGTTACGCAGAAGAGATGGCAACTACTGTATGCCTCACAAGAAAGACATGATACTTTGGAACTATTGCGGCAGATTTAGTTCTTTTTTTTACCATAGAATAGGTGGTATGCCTGGGATTGTGGATGTTAGAAAGTAGCTTGTTACGAAGAAGAGATGGTAACTAGAAAGCTGCTCTTTCTTAACATGAGAAAAGAAGTTCATATACAGAAGGTTACCACTGCAGCCAGACTCTGCTAACGAAGTTACTGCAGAGCTCAAACTCTGCTTCCTAAACTAAAGATGCCTAGCACGGGTGAATGGGGATGGACAAAGACCGTAGATGATTGGACCCACTCTTGACAACATTGTCTGAAGCAGCCAATGATGTTATTAACTCACCTGCTTTGGCTATTCTAAGATTTCTTCCCCGCGTAGATTCAGAAGCTCAATAGTTGCGTTGAAATGCACAGCTCTATGTATGTACACATTTGAGAGAATGTAGAGGTCGTGACTTATTCAGTATGGAATATAGATTATTTATGATATTAATTAATTGCATTATTAATGCTAAAGATATTCGATCTTGAAGCCAATATAAACCATTACATCAATACAGCAGAAAAATGCGTCTAGGTTTACCATGTAAATTGAGAATATACGTATGATATTACGTAAACATTAGGTTCAGCAAATAGGCTACACTGAAGACCAACCGTGTTCGTTAGAATCCTTGGGCTATACTTTAAGGATAACATTTTGTTCAAACACAAGCTAATCTGTTAAGTTTGCAGAATATTCATGTTCAAAGCAGTATAATAAATTAATAGTTAAAATTCCATTACCAACAGTCATATATATATATTTTAGGCAGTTTTTAATATTCTCTGTTGATAGACATTATTCATAATTGATGCACAGTTTTATTGCGAATGGCTAATGCATTACGTAGAACAGGAAGAATTTTAAAAGAACTCATACTTTTTGCTTCCAGAGAGTGCTTTTCCATTGGCTCATATTCGAAAATGTTCAGTATGTCCTAACCCAATAGTGTCTACTTTTATATATTTATCACTTGCACAATTCTTGCGGGGTTTAGTACAGCTATAAAACCTGCTGTACTAAGATAAAAAATGCGTAAAATTGTCTCTGAAAATGTTAAATGTTCTTGCTGTTTTGTTGTCACGAGACATTTGTCTCTGATGCCCTGTGAGACAACCAATGGTGGCATTCTCATGGGAATACGAATGCTGTTTTCAATGTCTTTTTATTCAAAAGACAAAAAATATTCATATTAGATATGCATGTCTTATTTTATTGTTTCTCTCAATCCGGCTTCGCACTTTTATCTTTCCTGTCAAACCTCTTGTAACAGAAACAACGGATGAAGTCCTCTATCTTTATTTAGTTTTTTATAATATATTATCCCATGTCTTTGTTTGTCTAGAAGCAATCACCCATATAACCCTAGGTATGTATAGAATCAAGTGAAACGTTTCATTACAGTAGTGCAGCGATACTACTTGCTAATGAATAGGATGTATGGAAGTGTAGCGTGTGTGAAACATCAAAAGCGCCTCACATATAATTGCTGCATGTCAGTATTAGTCCAACATTATCTGGATGGTGGTGTTGCTCCTTGTG